GTATAGTGTGTATATTATGAGGACAGTCCCCGAAGTATCCACTACGTAAAAAAAATTATGAGGACTGTCCTCAAAACAGCCACATGTCCCCATATAATACCATACATGACCGAAAATGACCCCAAAGTAACCTTTATATATATATATTATATTATACTAAGTTTATATAATATAATATATAAATTTAATATAATTTATTAGAAAAAATGAAATCAAATTATTAAATCTATTAACTTTTTAGACTTTTTTCTTTCTTCTTTTTGAAATTCTATACATGTATATATTATATTGGAAATAACCGTGCATATATATTCCAATGATAACACCCCATACGTGGACGATTTGGCGCGCATAGCGCACCATATACGCTAGTCTCACAAAAAAGGAGAAAGGAGAGTAGCCACTGAAAAATCATCCACCCTCCAATATTCTCTAGATTTTGTTTAACATTCATATTTTGCTATGCGATTGTTGGATACATAATCTCACATAGCTCTAGTGGTTTTCTGGGCGACAACCTTTCCTAGGGAGAGTAGTTTCGCATATGCTATCTTCCGCTCATTCAAATGTTGAATAAAAGATAAATGATCCCTGACAACGATCGTCTCTTAGAATGAACAGGGGAAAATAATTTACTTTCATCTAGATCTTTATCCAAGATACACACCTCTTGTCCCATAATTATTTTATCAACGTAATAATAGTATGACCATTGATTAATTAAAAAAGGAGGAAGTTACTCCCGAGTCTTTCAGTAGCTATAGTTGAGAAAATTGCGCAGATAAGAATCAAAAACAAATTTTTCATATGCCCATTGTTCCGTTAAAACTGACAATAAAGCCATTCGAGTCGATTTCAATTTTTTTAATGACAAGACAGCACGCCTTAAGAGACATTCGTATTTCAAGCATTCGACAATGCCTCGATAAATTGAGTTTTTCATAGATATTTCTAAGTAAAACTACAGTACTGAAAATAAAAACCAATGGAAAAACATCCATTCAGAAAGTGATTTAGGCAAACACAAGTTATAATTCCTCACCAAATATTCTGAAGGCATGTTCAGCTTTTACAGCTTTGGGTGCAGCATCACTAAACACAGATGTCATATCCAAAAAATCCTCAAACGTACAGTCGCCATCCTGACTTGAACTGAAGACTTTGCAAATTCTGTCTCCAAATGGGTTAACTCGAAGTTCTGGATAGAGAAGGATTTTCGACATTGGTAATTTTGCATTTCTGTTGTGTCCTACTTTTTCAGGGGCCAGCGCTTTGAATTTTTGGTGAGCACTGGAATTTTAAATTAAAAAATAATGTTATCCACATGATTTCAATTTAGAATAAAAGGATTCAATTGTTCCATTTTGTGACCATGAAAAAAGATGTAAATAGAAATATCTAGATGAATGTCCCTGGATATTCAATTGTTATATTCAGAAGCGATATTTTACCTTCCCTGAATTACTAAACGCAACATGTATTGATGGAAGAGTTTGATATATAAAATATTTTAGGTTACTTCAACATTTTTGTTGAAAACTTCACATGGTTTCCGGAATTGTATATTATCGGATCTACCCTCAAAGTCACTGGGCAAACGGTTAAATATTACTTGAATCTTATAATATCCTATTTCCGGGCTACTTTCTAATACTAAATAGCACCAAATTTTCTGTCCATTTTCTTTTGGTATTGACAACAGACTTACTTCTAGTTCTGGTCTTGTCTCCTGTTTTGGAAATGGTTCTTGGTAATATCATTGTAATTACCAGAGTGCAGACTGCACTAGGGTCCGTTGTAGGGAAATTTCTAAACGGTTAACATCGGTGGCAATTGAAACACTCACCGTTAGTAATGGAGATATTCCCTATTTTGGCCCTCGGTTCGTAATTGCGAGTTCTACTTTATAGATGGTAATGTCTAGTTTCAAGTTTGCGGGCAAAATGGGGAGGGGGTGTGTATTATCCAGCATGTGATGTCTGATGTCTAATATCGATCATGTGATAAGCAATTTCTGATGTCTAATATTTTATATCTCCTAGCTGACCATCATAGCTGCAAAAATTTTCAGATGATCTCTGGATGTTGGCGACGGATTTTTTTCTTTTATGCTACCTAAATAATCATTATTACAACAACAAATCAATTTATGATTGTAAAATTTTTTCTTCAAAATTATTATGTATAGAAACTAATAAGAGAAATGAATATTTTTTTTTTCGAAATCGAATGTGAGGGATCATTTTAAACTCAATACTTCTCTTTCTCATTGAGATCAAACCGTGAACTGATCCACCCACTTGGCTGTGTGTTTACCGGTGAGGACGTGCTCGTCATATAAACATTGGCGGAGGCCTCGATTAGGTGATGCAAAGATTCATGTCAACAAGTGTCAGTTCAGCAGCCTCATTGAAGAAATTCAAAGTCATTTTTCACAATATTATTTGCAAATGCACTCAATCTCAATTTTATATCTCCAGGAGTGTCCCAATGCAGCCCATGGCAGTAACGTGACAACCGCTGATTTACATGTTTGTACTTGGAAAGCAGCTCATCCCATTTATGAAGAAAACTATCTCATGAACTTCCCATCACCATCAAGTTCTAACGCTGGAATGGCAAATTCTTTCACAATAAACTCATTTCCAAAATTTTTGAAAACTTCAATATTAACGACAACTGCCGTAGTCCAAGACTGACTGTGGATATCTCTCACGCTGTTAGCGAGCAACTACTAACGAATAGCTTGGGTAGATCGAATGAACATCTGCATAATATTGGATGGAGTGGGAGACGCCAACTTGCTCACGTTTTCATAAAGCCACTTTAAAGAATACCTATCTGACGTTATTGTGGCCCAATAGTGAGAAAGCAGAAACCGTTGAAAACTTTGCGAATTTTTCTTCTGTCGGGTTTCTTAGTAAACACGTATTCCTATAATTGAACTTTGTCTGCCAAATCACGTATTCTTAACATTAATACAATAGTCATTAAAATAGGCCGGTGATGATATTTTTATAGTACCTAATTTTTCCAGCTGCATGATGGTAGATCAAAAATATGCCGGAAAGTTGTGCGCGGGGGGGGGGGGAGTTACACGTGATTGAATGAGTCTTATAAGTCACCTTCTTCTCAGAGTCGAGCGCATTTTCAATCCGTAAGTTGAGTGTAAAAGCTGTATACTACTGTCATGTCTGATACGATTTCTACTTGTGAAGTAATTACAATTCGTCAATTTATTCAAAAATTAGAAACTTTGCAGAGAATAAAGCCCCATCGATTTGAACGTCGATTTGGCATTAAGTGTCTTCTGAAATAGCATCCGATAGTGGTGCTGATAATTGGAATATTTCTACTCAGTCAAGTCCTCAAGCCATGACTGATGTGCGTGAAAGCATTTACGATTCATTAGATTGTGTTCTGATCATAGAACCGCACCAACTATCCAAGCAGATAAAGGAGATGGTCCAATACGTGAGGAGAAAGAGATACTAAATATCTTCGATTCTTTTAGACTATCTTAGAGAGCCTAGAACCAGAATCTCCGCAGAGTCCCGTACCTGAGGAGCAGTACTCTTCTGAAAGCCTAGAACCAGAATTTGTAGAGCGTTCAGCACCTGAGGAGATTGGGATTGTGAAAATTGTAAACTTTCCAGCAAGTCCTGAACCAGAGTCTCCAGAAACTCCATCACCTGATAATAGAGGCTTGGTCAATCATTCAAACTCATCAACGGACAATTCTATGGTGGTAGCGGACGACTCGGATTCAGTGGAGATAAATGCAGTTGACTCTTTCGAGAATCCAATGGCGATTACATCAGAGGCTGCACCAATGATTCCAGTGAATGCTGAGACTGTACCCCCTGATTCAGCGGAGGATATGGAACCATTTCTTAGAAGGGGGGAAACTGTCTGTTCACCAGTTGATGATTCAAATGATGATGATGATGATGCGGAACCTGTTTAAGTTTTCCTACCTGAACAATAGGAAAGTGTGGTGTCGGAAAGGGCTCTCAAGAAAAAGCGTAGGGAAGTCATCAATCGCCGTTACAAAGTTTGTGGGTTCTACGAAGGTAGAACTTTCGTCACAATGGGCGACATTCGATTAACGCTTTTCTGTTCTCATGGGAATATTTATTTTCGGCCAATGTAATATTTCAGACATCTCAAGCGATTGTCAGCCAATATAAAAATCTATCCCCCGGTAAATTTTTAATGAAAAATTGAATTTAATCGTATCAATTGACTAAACGAATTATTAATTTCTCTCATTTTTCATCTTTTTCGTTGTTCTTTGACTGAATTATTAAAAAAAACCTTCTAACATATCATTATGCAGTAACAACAAATTGTAAACATCCAGTTAAAGTAATTTACAAACATTACTATAATCCCTTCTACTTATGAAGCTCTATAATATTATTTAGTAAAAAAAAAATGATGCCCTGCTTGAACATTGAATGAAGAACTTTTTTGGTAACATAAACCTTTCGTCGATGCTCCATTGTTCACCCTTCGCCAGATATAAACACTAGAGTTTGAGAGACACTAGACGTCCAACATGAGAGAGATAACTATTGAAGATTCAGACGGCTTTGTCTCACCAGTGCTCTTCTTCAGTACGTCTCCGAAATTACAGCAACAAGTAAGTGCTTCATGTGGAATGTGTGAATATTTTTCAGTGGGATTGTAGTGGTATTCGTGTTTTTTCTTATTAATGATGATTATTTTCTTTTATTGTGAAACCGAAAGTATATGTTCTCCTTGATCCAGAGATGCGGCAGGAAAACGAGGAGGATAATAAGATACTATTTTGTGGATGTCATCGAGATACAGGGCTTGCTTCTCCTTCTTGAATCGTTCTCTTTTGATTTTGTTAGAACTCGTAAGGTTACACTTTGTAAGGAAATCTGGGGAATTTCCTTTTGGCAGACAAGATCATTCAAAGAATTGTTAGAATATTGTGACTACGCAGAGAAAGACGCATTTGAGTCCAGAATTGAGATTTAGAGTCATTGACAATTTAGGATGTAAATGCATTTTTTTTATGACCAAAATTAGAGAGAACTTGGATTGCGTTTACGCCAAAATTATTGAGAGTTCGTATTGCGTATTCCGTCTTAATTTTTTTGAGTATTTAATTGCGATGTCACGCCAAAAATATTGACTTATAAGATTATTGGGGCTAGAGAGGAATTATCGCGAATTATAGCCAAATGCGGCGGCAAAATATCGAGAAATAAAAATTTAATTAGGTAGAATTCCATATTTAATCGCACCTTAAGCCAAAATATACCGAGCTGAACGGTTAGATTGAGGATAAAATTCTTAGGCAAATGTGCATGGTAGGTGTAGGAATAATTGCAATACTATCGCTCAAATTATAGGATTTACGGGGCAGAACAGGTTAGGGTTAGAGTTTCGGTGATAGGTCAGGAGGGAATCAGTGCAACCATGAGGAACTCCTGAGTAGTCAGGTAGCTTGGGGTTCGTGGACACTAAAGTTTAAAGAATTAGTAAGAATCAATTATGGAAGGAAAATTAGGATTTATGTAATTTTATTCGTTCTGATAGCGGGATCCCGTGAGAACACCATCCTAAATATGCGCCCTTAATTGAAAAGAATTTATTTGGTCAGGAAAACAGTTCATTATCTCGAGAGTACGTTAATTGCAGTTTTGCCGTATTTTATATTTCGCGCGCTAAGGAATTAAAGGTTACTAGGGTTTAGTTGCGAGACGGGGCGCTAACCGCATTCCCGCTCGCCATGCTGCGAAACCGCCAGTTAGTTGTTGACATCAGTAGAGATACGGGTGTGCAGCAAATTATTGTTTTTTGTGGTAATTACGGATTTTGGAGGATTCATTGTGTGCCGAGGAGTTAGCGTAAGGCGTGAAGAAGCTTTAGACACCAGGGAGGAGAGAAATAGTCGGAGATTTTGCTGAGATACAGGTTGGGGAGATGGAGGAAGATTTTCGGTGAGCATTACCATACATTCCCATTTAATTTTGCGGATTTCGCGTCACGAGTGTGTGTCAGGTTCATCCCCGCGCCTTCTAATTATTAATTAGCCAATGCTCAGTGCGGGAGAGCAGAATTCGTGCCTGTAGAGCCATTTTCACGGAAAATATCCGTTGGGGAACATCGCGCCTCGTGTTAGAAATTCTCATTGTTCGACACGACCCAACTGCGCATTAAACGTCGTATTCGAGAATTTTCGGCTACGTCACCCTTTAAAACGATTTTTGGGAATATTGTCGGATGATTAAAAATCATCAATTAGAGAGTCT